TTTTTTTCATACACTTGTATCAAGTTTGTATTTATACAACATAACTTGTAAGTTCCTTATAAATATTAGTTATATGTTCCTTATATGTCAAAAATGCATAGTAATAAACTTTTAATTTTCTTAAATATCAAAAAAAAATTTTTTTTTCAAAATATAAATATTTAAACAATTTTTGCGCAAAATTTTACTGCACATGCATTTGGATATAAATTTCTGAGATTTTAAATCTGTTAGCAAACTTCAGTTTTTTAAGGGTTTTTGATGGTTTAAACCAGTATTATACCCTTGTCATGTCAAAAACCCAACCCTGTTTTAAACATATCACACACAATATATATGAGGACATAACATACACTATTCTTGGAAACATATGTCGAACAGCTTGGTATATAGGTTATGTTTTACATTAGAAACTATTATTGAAATTTAACAAACCACATCTATACTCTTTAATTCTTATTTCCCTTATAAAAATATTAATATGTTTTGATAAAAAAAATTTATTTGAAATTTTAGAGTTTTTTTTTTACTGAAGTTATATTTAAAATTCTTATAAATTACTTTGAAAATTAAGAAATTGATTATTTAAAGACTACAAAACAATACTTTAGTAAATGAAAGATTAAAAAAGCTGTAATGATTTTTAAGAGTTTCAACATTTTTTAGTTTAGACATTATTATTAATTTATTTAAAAAATTTAATTTAAAAAACAATTGGTGTACGTCCCGAATGAAAGTAACTGTTAAATTTGTTGATTTTATTGGCAAAATCAGCCTCCCTGTATTCCCTCCCTATATCAGTGAATTAATACTGTTTTAATTTAGGGAAATGCTGGATTGTTTCCGAAAGATCAGAGATGATAGATATTGCAGAGCAGTAGTAATCTCAGGTTCAGGGCATCTTTTCTCTGCAGGTATGCTGGAAAGTTTCTATCTTTCATGTTTTTATTATTTTTCTGAATTTGAGTTGATTTTTATGCTGAATACAATTTTCTCATTTAAGATCTTCTTAGATAATGAATTTTGTGTATACACTTTTAAGTGTTCAACTACTCCAGAGCATCTTGTTGGTTGGAAACATATATTTCTGATACTAAATACTAAAAAATAATTTTAGATAAATCTATTATAAATGTGCCAATTTTATATAAAGAATTAAGCAGAGCAAAGGAGCTTGATCACACAATATTTGTTTATTAATTTTGATTCCACAGTTATGTGAGGAATTCTGTGCTCCATATATTTTATCAAGAAAAGCACTAGCTTAACAATGAAACTAATAGAGCAATGTGAAAACAGGTATTATGCAATACTATCAAAAAAGCAAAATGCTGGATAAAATTTTTCTTTATACGGAATCATGTATGGAAGACATGTCCAGATTACAAAAAAAAAAAAAAAAATTCAGTTGGTGTGTTTTAATTTTAGACTAATAATTGGTCTGAACTAAAAAAATTCAAAGAAGGGCCACATTGGCATTTTCAGACTGTCTAGGTATACAATGATTTTCAACATTTTCTAGCATTAAATAATTCCATTGTAAATCTTTTTAGATTTTAATTAAGGAAATATTTCAGGGTTGGATTATTCTGATATGCAAGACATTACATCTCAAGTTGCTGGAAAAGGTGATGTAGCAAGAAAAGCCAAGTTTCTTTTGTCTCTAATAGCAAAATATCAAGAATCTTTCAATGCTGTTGAAAATGTGAGTTTCATAATTCTCCTAGTTTTATAAAAATTGTAAGAACTAGAAAAATGTACTAATACATTAAGAAATGAAATGCACACTGTGCTTACCTTGTCAGTCACATCATGATAATGTTTTAGGATACATATTAGAAATAAACAATCATGAATTACTTAAGTATTATCTCTTTCAATTATAAAAGATAGGCAAGAGATGGCACTATATGTAATAAGCTAAATATGTCAGTAGATTTTCTCTTTTTAAGGTTACACTTGGCAGGAAAGCCATTCCTTAATGCCTATCTGAAACAAAATTAAAATTAATCCCTTAATACCCAACAAAGCCAGTATTTAAAATTTTATCTTGGTACTCCACTTCTTTTGACAAACAGAAGCTATGCCACTCTCTTTTTTCATTGGAACTTATGAAGGAGAATTTTTTTCATCAGAATGCCATCTTGTTCTAGACTCGGTCAATCTATGGTCTCCCAATGGCTAACTGCTTAGAATTTGCAAGCCTCCGTTCTGTACTATTCATCTTAGGAAATATAGTAGTTTTAGTAAAAATAGAAATTAGCACTGCTGTATGTTTTGATAATTCTATGTATTACCAACCGCTTGAGGCGACCAGCTGATTGTCCTTCCCAAATTCAACCCAGTAAGGGTTGTTTACTGTTCTTCCCCTACTCTAACTCAATGCTTCTGCTCTCTTCATCAAACACTTAATCCAACTAACTTCATAAAAACATGTTTTTTAGCATTACTTGTCAATTACGCTACTTACACCAATAATTGAAAACCATTTAAATTAAGCTTTTTTAGTATTTTCCTTCATCTGATAAGGAATATACAGTTGAAATTAAATTTGAGACTTCTATGTGAAAAACTTTTATTTAGCATTAACTTTCAATTGGGGTAATTACCCTGATAATTATAAAATATCAAAATGAAACTTTTTGGTTTTTCTATTTATCTCATGGAGAATTTAAGTTCCAAATGTTAGTCTTCTATCTTTATAGAAAGTAAAAGAATTAGTGATGAGTGAGTGAGGGCTTTGCCTTTTATCTATGGAGATGTAGATATTTTTACAAAGAATTGCATGTGCTTTTCTTCCAAAATGCATTACTATGTATTTTGTGTTTTTAGAAGTTGTAATATGTATAATTTTATTTGTTTTTATATGTTGCATTGTTTTATTTAGTTCATAATAAACTATCTTGCTTACTTTACCAGATTATGTGCACACTTTAGTTCATATTCTAAATACATATATGATTTTAAAGTGTCATTTTGTGGAAGAGTCCTTGACTTGTTTACATTGCAAGTGTTCAAGAGTTTTGATATCACATTGCTGCTGTTTTAAGGGAGTACCCTGATTTTAACTTATAAAATGTCTTATATATATCCTTTAAAACTTATTTTTATCCTTAGACTCTGAATTTATATAAGCTACTTAAACTGAAATTAAATTTATGTTTTAGTGTCAAAAGCCTGTTATTGCTGCCATTCATGGGAAATGTAGTGGTGGAGGTGTGGATCTAGTCTGTGCTTGTGATATTCGATATTGCTCTGAGGAAGCATTTTTTGAGATTGAGGTATACTTTTCTTTTTTTTTTATGTATGCTTAATAATATAGCGTTTGAGTTATTCTTCCATTCATGAAATCATATTTATTATGTTAAAATCTCATGAGCAAAGTGATATCTCAATTAAGCTGCTTTTTTTTTCATCATAAGGCAATCCTATATTTAATTTGTAAAAAAAGAAATTTTTTCATTGATTTTTATAACATGTTGTATATTTGAATAGCAGAACATATTCAGGACATTTTATGAATTTCAGAGAATCAACTATGAAGAGTATAGAAGTATTGGGAAGCTTGCTCACAAAATATATCTATACTTTTTTAAGTCATGGTCAAACAAATTTTTTTCTTTTCTTCTGCAGGCCCTTAAACCTAGAAAATTGAATGTTTTTTAAAATTTTATTTTATTTATCTTCCACTAAGATCCTGTATTATAGTCATGAAATTTAAATCTTGTTTATTCTAATGACACTTGTTTTATTTAGTATGAGCAGGGATTCCATGAGCCAGGGAGAACAGGGAAAACTTAGAATAGTTTAGGAATTTTATTTTGATTCTAAAAAGCAAGGAATAGTCAGGAAGAGCTGTATATTTTTACAAAAGCCTGGAAAATGTCATAGAAGCCTATGTCATGCCAGTAAAATGTCCAATCTTAGAATTGTTAGTAACAGTAATCAGTTATTAAGATCAGAGTTAAATAAATCTAACATTCATTGCAAATATTTGTTGTAAAAATTTCACATTTTAGTGAAGCTTATCTACCCTTCCATCATCATTCAATATTTTTTTGCTCACAAAATCGAATATTCGACATTACAAATAAGAAAATCAAAGTTTTCTGATTGCATAGCATAGTATAGAAAATTGCATAATACAGATAAAATATGGTCTGGATTTTTATTAAAATTTTCTTAATATACCTAGAAAAGTCAGGGAATTTTTTTCTGAAATTGAGGGGATCCCTGTATAAATTATATTTAACTATTGAAGTAGTAAGTGATAGATGAAGTTATATTACATATATATATATACATATATATATATAAGTTGAAAATGTAGATAAAACATAGAAAATAATACAGATTAATGAAAAGTGAAGAAGAAAAATTATTAAAAAAAATATTTTAAAAAAATTTTTAAAAAGCCCCAAAACATAATAATGAGAAGGCATAATCTTGTCATCAGCTCACACGATTATATCTGCGAAAAGGATTGCCTTCTAAAAATATATTTATGCAACCAAAGCAAAATATATCACTATCATAGTGTGAGGAGCATTCAAAAAGAAAAAATTTAAGCAAAAATGGAACACATTAAGTAATATATATATNATGATAAATAAGATAAGATATAAGACTTAATGATAAATAAGATAAGATATAAGACTTAATGATAAATAAGATAAGATATAAGACTTAATGATAAATAAGATAAGATATAAGACTTAATGATAAATAAGATAAGATATAAGACTTAATGATAAATAAGATAAGATATAAGACTTAATGATAAATAAGATAAGATATAAGACTTAATGATAAATAAGATAAGATATAAGACTTAATGATAAATAAGATAAGATATAAGACTTAATGATAAATAAGATAAGATATAAGACTTAATGATAAATAAGATAAGATATAAGACTTAATGATAAATAAGATAAGATATAAGACTTAATGATAAATAAGATAAGATATAAGACTTAATGATAAATAAGATAAGATATAAGACTTAATGATAAATAAGATAAGATATAAGACTTAATGATAAATAAGATAAGATATAAGACTTAATGATAAATAAGATAAGATATAAGACTTAATGATAAATAAGATAAGATATAAGACTTAATGATAAATAAGATAAGATATAAGACTTAATGATAAATAAGATAAGATATAAGACTTAATGATAAATAAGATAAGATATAAGACTTAATGATAAATAAGATAAGATATAAGACTTAATGATAAATAAGATAAGATATAAGACTTAATGATAAATAAGATAAGATATAAGACTTAATGATAAATAAGATAAGATATAAGACTTAATGATAAATAAGATAAGATATAAGACTTAATGATAAATAAGATAAGATATAAGACTTAATGATAAATAAGATAAGATATAAGACTTAATGATAAATAAGATAAGATATAAGACTTAATGATAAATAAGATAAGATATAAGACTTAATGATAAATAAGATAAGATATAAGACTTAATGATAAATAAGATAAGATATAAGACTTAATGATAAATAAGATAAGATATAAGACTTAATGATAAATAAGATAAGATATAAGACTTAATGATAAATAAGATAAGATATAAGACTTAATGATAAATAAGATAAGATATAAGACTTAATGATAAATAAGATAAGATATAAGACTTAATGATAAATAAGATAAGATATAAGACTTAATGATAAATAAGATAAGATATAAGACTTAATGATAAATAAGATAAGATATAAGACTTAATGATAAATAAGATAAGATATAAGACTTAATGATAAATAAGATAAGATATAAGACTTAATGATAAATAAGATAAGATATAAGACTTAATGATAAATAAGATAAGATATAAGACTTAATGATAAATAAGATAAGATATAAGACTTAATGATAAATAAGATAAGATATAAGACTTAATGATAAATAAGATAAGATATAAGACTTAATGATAAATAAGATAAGATATAAGACTTAATGATAAATAAGATAATAATAATAATGGTAATAAGATTTAATGAACCAATATTTAAATTTTTTTTTAAAAGAGCATATTTGTTAGCATGCTATGTCCTTATAGATTTAAAATAACTTTTTTTATCTTTTTATTGTGTTTTTTAATAAAGTTAATTTATTATTTCTAGATAGGACTAGTTGGAAAAATATTTCCTACAAAAGAAGCTCTAATGGGTGCAGCTTTTGGCTTGGCTAAAGTTATTGCATCAAAAAGTCCCGTTGCAATTCAAGGAACTAAAGTGGCTTTGAACTTCTCTAGGGATCACAGTGTTCAAGATGGGTTGCAATTCATGGTAAATATATTTCTGTAGATTTATTCTTTAATGTTTATAACATAATCTACATTCCATGCATATGCCTATTAAGAACTTATTATGAAGGTTGCCTATTTGCAGATGACTCCATAGTAAACATATATTTGTATTAATCATTTTACATCTGATATGTTATCTCAAATTTCTTTTTCAAGCTTTTTTAAATATACTTTGAAACATAAAGAAATAAATATGTAATTATTTAGTATGTAATAAATTTACTTAGAAATGTTTATTGTAAAATAGTTGTTGAATGAAATATTATCAGAGTTATGTTTTGCATAAATGCTATAATATCTGGCCAGGTATTAAATCTCATTTTTCCCAGATACCCGTAACTAGTCTGGTAAATAATTAAGTTTTTGCCGACCCTTGGAACCGCTGAACTTTGAGGGTATGATACATCTTTACCCATGATAACGAAGCATTTTTCTAATGGTTTACCGATTTTTGCCAGTTTTAGGAATTTGGATATGCTACCATATTACTTAAACATTTCACAAATGTGAACTTTTATTACTAATCTATATTTTTATAAAAATTTGTAAATATTTTCTTTAGTTATACTACTTTGTTTAACATAAATAAAGGAAATATAAAGCCTTGTTGAAATTTTTTTTTATTGAGAAAATTGGAGATTAAAATATTGATGATACTCAGTTAAATTCCTTACTTAAAACAACATTTGACTTGCTTTCACCTTTAACATGTGAATAGTCATAAGAGTAGGAAGTATATTAGTTTCTGCTTGATTTTGAAACCAGTTTGGAATTATGCCAGAAAGGTACATTGACTCAAACTGCATTGTACATAGTACTTAAAGTAAGCATTGTGGAAATATTTAAATATATTTTTTCAACTTAAAGCTTAAAAGCATTGTAGAAATAGAAAGCATTATAATACATTCACATAAAACTGAGCAGAGGGTAAAGGTAATGTTCTAGACATAAGAAAGGTGTTATCTCTAGATAATTAGTTTGACAAGCATTGGATCACAAATATGCGCACCTTCTCCAGTTAAAATAAATATAACTAATTAATATTTTAGTTATAGTTAGCTAAGGATTATGTTCTTCAGAAATTGTTTAATCCTGATATTTTTTCCATATTCTATATTATTTACATGTTGTTTTTATTTGTAAAAATTCATGTTTAAATATTTAAAATTAAAATTATTTAAGAATCATGAAAAGTAGTGTAATACTTTTTAGAGTGAGAAATCATCATTAGTGTAAACTTAGAAAATGCTTTTCTGTCTCCTCACTTATTTTTAAATTTGAACTTCAATTCCTTTCCTACATTTTTGAAAATCTGATTAATGTTACACTACATTAGTATTTATTTCTTTATTTTTTTTTTAACAGACATATTGGAATATGACCATGTTACAAAGTGAAGATGTGTTAAAGGCTGCTGAAGCTACTATAAACAAATCTGATAAGCCTCCTAAGTATTCAAAGTTGTAATTGAACAGTAGTAATGGATATTTTATTAAGTTTTATATATGTGGGAAGTGTTTTTTTTTCTTGTTTAATTATTATAAAGTTGCTCCTTAAAAGTTAAGAGCCATTTTTCTACATAAAAACTTGTATATTGTTCCAGTTTTTCTGTCAGTTGTTTTTGCTATTAAATGAAGAATACTTTCAACTTACCTAAACTTATTGCTTTGAGCAATTTTTTTATTACTTACAATAAAAGAAAAATATATTGTGTTTTCATAGCTTAACGATGTTTTTGTATTTGGAAGATTTGTATTTTAAATATTTCAAATAAAATTATTTTATGTTAATTATATATTTTTTCTTCTTGGTGACCATTTAGATTTAAGTTTGAAGCATGGATCATTTTTTTACTCTCACCTGAATAGAAAAATGCCATATTTTGATATATATATATCTCATAAATTATTGAAACATATCTGACCAGAATATTTAGAATTATTTCTCGTGCATGTATTTAAAATTTGAACTCTTTCTAATGCAGTCCTTTATTAAAAAAAATTAATATTTTGCTATGCCCTATTTCTATTTTTCATGTAATATATTTTTTAAAAGTATACTCACTAAAAATAAGTTAAAAATCCTTTTAAAAAATTTTGATTTCAATCATGCTATGATGAAATAATTAATTTCTTATTACAACTTCAAAAATTTATTTTAGAATTTCATATTTTTTTTAGCAGTTTAGATTTGCCATCAGTTGCAACAAAAATTTTAAACAAATATTTGTTCTTGATTTCATGAATTTGGTTTATGATGATTTTGAACATCATGAGCTCTTCCTTCAGGTCATCAGGACTTAAGAAGCTGCTCCTCATCTTCTCCATGAATTTCACACCTACAGTAAATCATACAGCATGATCTGTCGTGCTGCAAAAGAGACATATTCGCAGTTAGGGCAGAGGGTGTCGTTTGAAAAATAAGTCAGTCTCCACAAAAACAACTTTGTATTCTACAATGCAATGTAAATGGTCTTAGTAAAACAGCCACAAATATGAAACTAGACCAACTACTGGACTAAGCGAAACCTGTGATGTCTAAACTACCGCTTTACAAGCAACCGAACTTAAAGAGTTCCATTCACTAAAGATCAATGTTACAATATTTTGCATTTGGATAGGAAAACTGGCAAAGCCGGTGGTGGATTAGTCTTCCTCTTCGGGCACCTCCACTATCAAAGTGTGAATGTTCCACTGTTAACAAACAACAAGCTTGAAATCCATGGTATTTCATTTTCCATGGTGCATAGCATTTTTAAAAATGTGCTTAAAGGTGCTTATTTTTGTTTTTTAAAAAAGCCCTCAAAGGTGCATTGGGTGTTTTTAAAAAGTGCTTAATTTTCCCTTTTTAAAAATGAGATTTTTGAAAAGGGAGTGTCGATTTTCACCATGTATTATGTAAAAGTGTGCATCGTCACATTTGATCATTTTAGAATGGCTAATATTAGCAAGAAAAGAGTTCTTTGTCAGAAACTAGTTATTTTATCCTGATCATGTAAAGTCTTTGAAATTTATTTTGTACTTCGTTGATGTATATAGTACTTAAAATATTTTTTTAATGCTTAAAAAGTACTTTAAAGGTACTTATTTTTTGTTGAAAGATTTGGCTACCCACCCTTTTTTCATGGAATAGGAAAAATCTCAGAGTATTTAATTCCTATAATCCCTCTGATTCCTTGAGTTTACTAGACTGCTTGTTCCAGTGGTCTGATGACAATATTTTTTTTCCTGGGGGACTTAAATGCCAAACACTCCATCTGTAGATGTTTGAATTCTTAAAGCCCTAGTGGTGCTCTAGAGTTTAAAGGTGAAAAATTGGATCAAATGGCAGTTTCATGTTTCATCTGTGGCCATTTAAAATGCTTAAATTTCAAATATGGGTGCAAAATCTTCCCAACCTGCAGCAGGTGCAATCTGAAACCAGCTTCCCTTGAACACATCCTTGATTGTCTGGAAATTTCCTTGAAGGACATTCTCTTTGAAACAATTTTGGTGTGTGACTTTGCCAGAGTGTTTGGACTCATGGATTTAACATTTAAACATGCATATAAATGATCTGACAACTATCAGGAAACTTTTTAGGTCTGATGAAAGCAAATTATTTCTTCTGACCATTACTACCTCTTAAAATTTTGTGGGGAGCAAGGTTGGCAATTATGTAAAGGATATATCTAATATTGTTCCTTTAACTGGAACATTTTCAATAGTTAAAAGAAATGAATCATAAAAATTAGGAAAAAAAACATTATGTGCAATTTGCATTTTCTTTTAACTTGATTATTTTAGGAAGTGACAGCTAAAATTAATATCTGTTAAGAATTAGTATTTAGAAATCTTTTTATCAATTGTCATATTCTTAACTTCAGTATTTTTTCAATTAAATTTTAAAAATAGAAATAATTGCAAGTAACATTATTAATTTATACAATTTTAAACACTGTGCATAAAAAAATTTAGAGTTAGTGTTTCAAGAAAATAAAAGAACCATTTGTTTAAATATTGATCCTAAAAGTGTCATGTATTTTTGTTTTCACAGAAATATGCTTTTCAATTAGAAAAATAACAGCAACAATTTTTAGCAAGCATGGCATATGTTTCTTATCAATTTGTGAAACACTTAATAAATAAAAAATATATACATATGTTTGCATTATCTTATGTGTTTCAAACAATTTTTCAAAATGCCCTATACAATAATCTACACTGGTCGACAAAATTAAGAGATGGAAGGCATTTTCCCAAATATCTCAAAAAATACTGAATATAAATAAATGAAATTTGGTATGGATATAGCTTATTCCATGATAATAAAGTATGCAAAACAAAAATGAAAGTGCCATTCACTGGCAAGACCTATTGCCAATAAATCCAATGTAGTCTGAACTTAAGGATAAAAGATGACAATAAAAGTGAGGCTTGTACAGTGTGTGTTGCCTCTAGTATGGTGTATAGTCACCCCTGACAGACAGACAGCATGCACAACGAGTATGCATGCTGTTAAGGAGGACTTGTAGAAAACCCTCCCATTCTTCCACCAGAGCAATTTTTAACTCCAGAATGGTTCTGGGGGGAGGTTGGTGCATCGCAATAGCTCTCCCAAGAGCATCCCGAGCATGTTCAATAGGATTCAGGTCAGGGGATTTGGCTGGCCAATCCATTTGTTGAATATCCTCGCTTTCCAGATACTCATCAGTCATCAACCATGAGACTCCTATGTGGTCGTGCATTGTCGTTCATAAAAATGAACTCGGGGCCAACAGCGCCCCTGAAAAGACGCACATAGGGCTCTCGGACCTCCTGCCTATCCCTCTGGACATTCACGGACCTATTGTCAAACACATGGAGTGGTGTGCGGGTGTCTTGCATGATCTCTGCCCAAACCACGAGTCCTCCACCAGCATAATGGTCCCTATCGATAATGTTATCGGGTTCCAGGTTCCCTCCATATCAATAACTGTCCAGATATAGCGTCATAGAAATGTGCGAAAACGCTTTCCATCTCTTAATTTTGTCCACCAGTGTATGTAAAACTGAACCCCTGTTTTAGTCAAAAATGTGATACTTTTAAGAAACATCTGAAAAAGATTAATTGAAATCCCATTTTTCATTTATGTAGGTAGTATTTGTTTTATTTTAAAAATGACAATTTTTAACAAAATATGGGTAGATTAAAAAAAAAATTCTACAAGACATGATTTATAATGTTTTTCTATCATACCTTGTGCAGAATAATGCAAAACATTGTTTGGAGAAATGAAAGAGATATCTAGTTAGACTATTTCTCTTTTAAATAAAATTAATTATTGTACATTCTATAAATTAAAAAGGACTTGCTGGAAGATAAAATGATCAAGTTTAATTCTGTTTTCATTTACTCCTTTATTAGAAGCCACAAAAAGTGGTCCATATATCAAAAATACCTATGTCAAAAAGTTCTAGAGCATATTTGTAGTTATTCCTTTCTATTACTTACCATTTTAGCTGTAAAAAAAATACTTAAATCCTAGATCCAAATGTGTTTGCATTGTTAATATATATCATGGTAGACAGAACTATCTAGTTCTACAAAACATATGTTTATAGTAAAACACTTATGCGGTCACCATTTTTTTTAATGGGTTAAATTAAATAAAAAAGTTCAAATGGGTTAAATTAAATGGTTAAGTCATAGAATTTTAAATACTAATTTATTTATAATAGTGCCTAAAATAATATGTTTTTAATTTTTATCCGGAAATGTTTTTTTTTTCTTCTTTAATTTAAAATTTCACCATTCCAAGGGTGGTTTATTTAGAATTCAAAAACCAACCAAAACTTTTTTCTTTCACACTTTTTAAAGATATTTTATCTTTGTGTTACATTGTTTGAAATAATTATATAATTTTATTCATTATATAATTTGTAAAATTACACTGTGATGTAAATCTGAATTACCTCCACTAGTTGTCTCCCTCTTACACGTTTTCTCATAGACAGATAAAATATTCAAGGAAAACAGACAAACAAACTCAAAAAATAGCTCGTGTTTGTCAAATGAAGTTTATGAAAGACAAAAATTATAAACGTGAAACAACGATCAATTGCCGTGCAAACCATGATAGTAACAGCCAATCAAGTTATTAAATCTATTCGTGCACCAAGCAGCAGCCTTTTTTTACGATTTCAGAATTTTGAAGTTGTACTTTCATATTGAAGCAAGACAGGTTTTCTATACTGAGGGTGCCATCTAGGGACAAATAAGAGAAATAAAAGTTGATTCGTAATTTATTTTAAAAATGTAATAACTGAAACTTGTTTTTTTTTTATGTGAATAACACAGTGTTAACATAGATTATGAATTTTAATTAGGAAAAATATATATACATTTTTTTTCAATTAGTTGAATTTTTCTATTTGTAATCAAAATCGGCTACAGATGGCGTTTTGCAAAATTCTTTACCTACAAAAACGCTATACTGACTGTGTTCAGTGAGAATTGACAGCGAAAGTAGACCAAGCCACCGCACACTTGGCATTATCTTTGGCTGATTGATATAAAATTTATGATTATCAGTGCTACTCATTGAACACAAATTTGTCTACTAGATGTTTCATTTGCGATATAAAAATCCTCAGTATTTTAAAGTCGGGAAAGGTAAAATTTGAGCAGCTTGATATACTTCCATTTAATTGCTATGATTTTCAATGCTTTTTTTTTCCATATATACTTTACGGAAGTAAGCTTGCAATAATTCATTAAAAGGCAATTCTATATATAGTATTTTTAATTGTATAAATTTATGAAACAAATT